TCAGCGCACAAGTGCACCAGCACTTCCACGCATTGCAGCCAGTGGAGATCTGGCGAGGAATGAGGCAGGCAGCTCTTTTAATAGTGCTGGCCACTCCTCGCTGGGTCTGCATTGGCTCAATTCAGCCTCTCCCTTTGTCCCAGACCCTGCATTGCATGTGTCCCGGTACAGTCCCAATGAGATTCAACTGCTGCTGAGGCACTTCGGCCTGGATTTGGACTTGAAAGTCTGGATCTGGACTGACCACTTGACTTAGACCAGAACTGGGACTGTACACAGACACACCCTTACTCGAACAGACATGACATACACATCTCCTGGTGAACAGGTAAGTCTTTTGACAATGCCCTTTGCCTTAGATTTAGATGTGCCTGTTGATAGAGAGCTTGACTTTTGACCTGTTTTCACGTTTCTGAGCCCTGGCAAGATACCTTTTCACAATGCTTTACTTGTACAAGGCCCGTGCTGCTCTATTTTTACAAGGCCTGAGGCCTATATCGGGTAAAGGCCCTTTTAGTATCAACACTGTGTATTACACTCAGAGAGTCGTTTTGCCCGAATAGTCTCAGAACCATGGTGCGTTGCTCAGGAGTGAGCAGCGCTTCTTCCCAACCCCGAGTAACGGCTATCTGCCACTCCAGAACCCCTGAAACAACCAGCGGCGCCACCCAGATACTGCCTCCAGAGGGGAGCGCCACCCTGAAACAGGCCCCTGAGGCCAAGCGCCTCTCAGAAGATGAAGAAGAAGACCAGCGCCAAAGTCTCTGATGAAAATGAAGTGCCAGAGGACTTCACTAGGGAAGATCTGCAGCAGCACCACCGTTCCTTTTTTTTTTTTTTTTTTTCCTTTCCTGACAAAGGAAATCTCTGAGGATGTAAGCTGCAGCTATGGCTGGCGCGCCACTACCCTGAACCCTACTCCTGAGGAGGGTTCGACAGGGCACCAACTTCTGCCACTTCCAGCAGACGTCAGATAGCCCAGACCTCTGAGCAGCCCCACTTACTGCCAGAGAACAGCGAAGGACCCAGCTATGGACGACGCTTCGAGGGTCTGGCTATGTCTGTCTCTTTCTTCAACGCTGAAGCTGTCACCACTCCAGTTCACGCGTTGCGCCGCCGCGATCTGCAAAATGCCAATCGTCAAAAAGCCCTGAACAGACTTCCTCATTCTATTAATAGATCCACTCTAGCCTACACTCGACCAACACCGGACCTACTGGACCGACCGGTACCGTTTCTGTTTCGGCCTCTAGGGCCTCTCCTTACCCGGCTATAGGCTATAGGTCCAAGGTTGATGAGAAGTGTTCCACCAATTTACAGAGAATTTCATTATTGGTATATTTATTTATGAGACCTATACAAACAAAAAGAGAAGCTACGTCTGCAGAAAAGAATAGAAAACGTAGTGGACCTAAATGTAGGAAGTCTGGTTTTTACTCTTATATCAAGTTATATCATTATATGTGGTATTCATTCTTGTTTGACTCTTGGATTGAGATCTACAGAGTCTCAGCATAGGCCCTTAGGCCTGTCTGTCCACGTGGTAGCCCGGGCCTGCTATTCGCAGTTAGGGGGGACTAGAGGGAAATAGGATTAGTGGGGGTCGGTTGGTCTCTACGACTTTGCAGATATGTCCCTCACGTATTTCCCGACAGGCTGGTTTCCCGGTTAGTACACAGCAGAAACAAAATTACGAATCTGTCCTACTATGTTACAGCCTCGCCTCGGTTCGACGGGGTGCAGGCTGCAGAATCAGCAAGTCATTGCATCTGTTTGACTATGTATAGGGTTGAGCCTCCAGATGAGTCGGCGAAACTCCCACGAAACAGTTTGGCACAGCCCCTCGTTTCTTGTCCTCTTCTCCCTCTCTGCCTACGGTTTACCGTCGGCAGCTCTGTTTGACGATATATACGACTACTTCGCTAACACACTGCTACGGTTTTCTCCGGTCAGGTCGAGCGGCCGTGGTCGGGGCCGTCACTACGCGGCCTTGCTGTGCCTCGAGTGCCAGCGGCGTGTCTAGAGTGTATTTTTTGGCTGTGACAGACCTTTCTTTGTTTCGTGGGTGTTTTGCTTGCTTGTGGCTTGGGATGGGGTGTGAACCGACAGTCTGTAGAGTTTTCCATCAGGTGTGGGTGAGTGATAGTCTGCTTTGATTTTCGTCACGGGTACCTTGAGGGGCAGTGGTTGGTGGTCCCCACCACCACCTCAGAGGGGTATTAGTTGTCGGGCAGTCGTTGATGCTTAACCACAACCGGGGTTCAGGCGGATTATCACTTACAGTGTAATCAGTCAGTTAAGGGATTCTGCAGACTGTTGAGGGTTCAGCCTCCTCCTGACGAGTGAGTCGGTGAAACTCCGATGAAACAGTTTGTCCTCTTCTTTGAAAATACTAAAATAGGAATGAAAGGTTTTCACGAGCGTTTCTTTCCTTTTTTTATCATTTGTTATGATTTTACAATCTTGAAATTTGAATACGTCAACTAAACGGCCTCGGCCCTCCGGTGAGACCAGACCCCTAAAAATGACGATGTTACATCACGCAAATTCCATACCGGTCTGCAGTTTGAAATCATGATCTTTTTTCTGACACAGTGACATGTGTGTGCCATACACACTGAGGCACATGGGCTGGGTGCAGTCTCGTTGTTGTTGTTGTTGTTTTTTTTTTTTTTTTTTTNTTTTTTTTTTTTTTTTTTCCCCAACGAAATGCAGGAGATAGTCCGAGATACATATTGAATATAGCTGGAAACTCTGGAAACTGAGGATAGAGAGTCCCACAGTCCCTCTATCCTCCTCTTTTTTTTTTTGCGTCTGTCTCGCTTTTTTCTTTTCCCCCCTAACTTCCCTAAGTCCCTTTATTTATTTATATAGGGCCCAGTCTCCAAGGCAAAAATACAAGTGAGAGTTATGGTTGGCGTCGGCTGCAATTTCAGGGGCCTCTAGGCCTCCAGCCTCACTTCGGCAGGCAGAGACTGTCCCCCCCCTCGCTATTCTGAAGTGCATTCTTTTTCAGTCCTGTCTGACTAGTGACTACCCTATTTACCCGAATAGAATGGAAGGTGATTGTCTCCGTATGGAGGCTGGAAGTTGCCCCAAATACGCAGCTATAATTAATTTACAACGTACGTTCTATTCGGGGGAAGGAGGTAGAAGCTCTTGCCTTATACATGAAGTGTTTTGTGCACTGTCCCCATCCTTTGTTGCAAGGTCTTGTCGGTCTGACGTCAGTGATGGTCTTGTGGTGGCAGGGTGCCCAGGGCAAGCTCTCTCCCCCCCCCCCCCCAATGATCAGGTCAAGCATTTTGCTGCTTTGTATCATTCTTTCTGAAAAACTTTGCCGCAGAATGTTTTCGTAACGTTCGATGCATGTGTGCTTGTTTTATCTTTTCTTTTCTTTTCTTTTCTTTTCTTTTCTTTTCTTTTCTTTTCTTTTGTTTGGGCAGAGAACCATAGAGTTATGGCTGCGCGCAGATGTTGAGCAGCAGCGAAAGGCCAGGAAGGAGCGGCGAGCGAGAGGCGAAAAGGGAAACCCGTTCGAGTCGGTCGTCGTTCAGAACAATGGGTGGGCGGCAGGCCGCATGTCGTCAACATTGAAAGGCAGTAGTAATTCCGTCCTGAGGCTCTGACCAAAAATACAGCAAGTTCTCTGCAAACAAAAAGGTAAAAAAACAGATGGTTAAAACGAGAAAGTAAAGTGAACAAAAAAAAGAGCACCTGCTGTGCAGCCGTGCGCATGCAACAAAAATAAAATATAAGGAAAAAAAAAAAAAAAGATAGATTATTTTTTTTCGTAGGCTAATGCAACAAAAATGCTAAGAATGAAAAAATAATGACCTATTTCAACATACATGTCCTTCGTCGGATCTGTGGGCGCCTGCTGTGCAGCCGTGCGCATGACATCGAAAAGGGTTTGTTTGGACTTCGAAGTTTGAACTTGAAGCTTGTTGAGGGTTCGTAAAAGTAAATGGAGACTTTTCTGTCTCTTTTTTTTTTATTTGTGAGAGGGGTAGGGGGAAGGAGGAGAGGAGGGGGACGAATAGTGTGTGGGCTGCCAAAAATCTTGTCGAGAATCAATAAAGCATTACGGGGTTGAAGTCGGTGAGTCAATGGAGACTTTTCTGTCTATTTATGTGTGAGAGGGGTAGGGGGAAGGAGGAGGAGAGGAGGGGGACGAATAAAGGTAAAAGCCATGCGGAGTCGCGGACAGAGCACCTGATCTGTAGGCTATTTGATCGTCGAGTCACTGGCTGTTTTTTTTTTGTTTTTGTTTTTGTTTGTTTTGTTTTGTTTTGTTTTTTGAACTTTTTTTCCCTTGCGATTGTAATGAGTGAAAAACGGTACGCCAGGGATCTTGCAGGCCGCATGAAAAATTATGCAAGGGTACATTTGTAAATCTTGCAAATTTGGATGGCATAGCTGTGTATCACTGTATCTGCAATTTCGGGAAATGCAGTTTTGGGAAACAGAAAGGTGGACATTTGTGATGTCCTCCTTCGGGACATCCGTTTAAATTGGAACGATACAGAGAAGATTGATTAGCATGGCCCCTGCGCAAGGATGACACACATATCCTGATGAATCGGTGAAACTCCGACGAAACAGTTTGTCACAGCCCCCTTGATTGTTGTCCTCCTCTCCCTCTCTGCCTACGGTTTACCGGGCAGCTGACTATATATATATTGTCAAATAGAACTGCCCGGTAAACCGTAGGCAGAGAGGGAGAGGAGGACAACAATCAAGGGGGCTGTGACAAACTGTTTCGGCGGAGTTTCACCGATTCATCAGGATATATACATGTACAAGAATATTGTGATGAAATCTTAATTACAGATGACCATACAGAAGTAGGAAACATGATTGCTAGGATTGAGCCTGCTATATACTGTTTGTGACGATATATTATATAAATATATATAATGTTATATATATATATGAGTCGGTGAAACTCCGACGAAACAGTTTGTCACAGCCCCTCGTTTGTTGTCCTCTTCTCTCTCTCTGCCTACGGTTTACCGGGCAGTTCTGTTTGTGACGATATATATTATAAATATATATTAGTTTTCCATCTGGTGTGGGTGAGTGATAGTCTGCTTTGATTTCCGTCACAGGTACCTTGAGGGAAGTGGTTGGTGGTCCCCACCACCTCAGAGGGGTATCAGTTGTCGGGCAGTGGTTGATGGTTAACCACAACCGGGGTTAAGGTGGATTATTACTTAGAGTGTAATCAGTATGGGATTCTGCAGACTGTTGAGGGTTCAGCCTCCTCATGGGTCGGTGAAACTCCGATGAAAAAGTTTGTTATCGGCAAACAGAACTGCCCGGTAAACTATAGGTAGAGAGGGAGAAGAGGACAAGAAACGAGGGGCTGTGACAAACTGTTTTGTCGGAGTTTCACGGACTCATCAGGAGGCTGAACCCTGAACAGTTTGCGGTGAATCTGGACGTGTTTGTGGAGACGTGCAGTTCAGGAAACTCAACACCATTTCTGCACATCTCCGCAAAAGCGTCCAGATTCAGGCGTTGAGGTAGCTCAACGCTGCTATTGGGACTTGGCCCCAGAGGGCAGTCGGTAAGGATGACACGCATAATTTGAGAAATGGTTCAGTTTCTTTTTTATTATTATTATTATTATTATTATTTTTAAGTTCAATTTTCTTTCTAGGTATAGGTAAGAAAAAACTTTGAAAAAAGAGATCATTATGATAATATATGATTCCGTAATGTTTTTTTTTTTTTTTTTTTTTTTTTTTTAATTACTTATACAAGCCGGGAAATGGCCCCATCGTCCCCTGGCAAAATGTTATTGTGCTCCACTATGAGGGTGTCATCACCGGCCAAGCTCAGACGGGCAGATGCATTGGCAAGAAAAATATATAACGGAAAGAAAAACAAGCTGCCTGCCAGCAAATTATGTGATCTAAGGAGCCAGTAACATCCATGGTACTACATGTATGGGGCTGGCTCCACTGCACAGCACTCTCCGTGCATCTGGCTTCTTTCTGGTACCGATACAGTCGAAATGTTGGACTTGGCCAAATGCACCTGGTCCAGAGGTGGACCAAATGCATGTAGAGCGTTGTGTAGTGGAGCGAGGGCCTATGTAAGTCTATCTGCAGTGCCTGCCTGAAATGTGGAACAACAGCTGTACACGTATCTACAGTGCCTACCTAATATATAAAACACCAGCAACCCACAAAAAGCAGCAATTCCCATACAACGAGTCAACGACATGTATGTACTATGTACATGGCTTTCAGTGAGGGAGGAGGCTACTGGGGCAAACACAGTAACAAAAACAGTAACAAACACAGTAACAAGAACAGTAACAAAAACAGTAACAAAAACAGTAACAAAAACAGTAACAAAAACAGTAACAAAAACAGTAACACAGTAACAAAAACAGTAACACGGTAACAAAAACAGTAACAGAAACAGTAACAAGAATAGTAACAAAAACAGTAACAAGAACAGTAACAAAAACAGTAACACAGTAACAAGAACAGTAACAAAAACAGTAACAAGAACAGTAACAAGAACAGTAACAAAGAACAGTAACAAGAACAGTATCAAAAACAGTAACAAAAACATAACCACTGGATCCGCCGATCGGCAGTGAGCAGAGTCTGCTGATGTGCGTAGGGGGGGGGGGGGATCACCACTGGAGGGGAGGCACAGGGGTCATTGGTCCTGTTGGCATGGTGGTCCCTGATGCTACCGGCTGTCCCCTACCTAGCCGGTATCGCCCACATACTGATGATCGGCAGTGAGCAGAGTCTGCTGTTGGGAGCAGGCCCCGCATGTTCTCTCGTGAGCACGTTTCTGTCTGCTATGGGGTTTCCCCGCATGACTATAATTAGTAGTAGTGGTAGGTAGGTACTAGGTAGTGTGAGGTGAAATTGAGAGAAGAATGTAGCTTGCGTAAAAAAAAAAAAAAAAAAGTAACAAAAGCAGTCACACACTGATACGGTGATACCCAGTACCAAAAACAGTAACAATATAGAACAAGCCTAGAGCAGAAGGAAGAGGAGTTGGTGGATCTTTCTATATAGAAGGCTACCGGGGGAAACACAGTTACAAAAACAATATCGAAAACACAGAGCAACAAAAGGGGTTATAAAGGGGGGTACTACAACTATACAACTATGCCAGCTGTCACCCCAGGTAAAAAGAACCTATGGAACAAGCCTAGAGCAGAAGGAAGAGGAGAACAAGCCTAGAGAGTAGAGTTGAAGGCTGAGGAAATAGGAAGGGGATATGGAGCTACAGTAGGGAAAGTAGCACACATCATCAGAGAAAAAGAGGGAAAAAAAAAAAAAAAAAAAAACCAGCTCAGGCGGTGTCTCTGTCTCTGAGTGAATCCTCACCAACTCCTGGGAAAATGTTTCCCAGTTTTGGTGGATCTTTCTGAGGGCTCTTGATGTCCATCCCCTATTCAAGACCCTTTTTTTTTTCTTTTTTTTTTTTTGGGTTCAAAACGACTGGGAACCGGGCCTTTTTGGGTCCATTTGGGCCCTTTTTGGGTTCCCAGCACGTGCCTCTCCCCACGGAAATGTCTCCAATCTCTTCGTGCGGAGCGGCATGTGCTGGGAACCGCTGCCAACATCCCTTTCAAGAACAACCCTATTCACGACCTTGATGCCAGTCGATGCTATGCTTTCACAGAAATTCCGATTTGTTTAAACTTTAAACCACCAGTCCATCTGAAGCAAAATTGACGAACCAAATAAAAATCATTAAAATGCATTAGGGGCCAAGTCTAAAAGTGGCAGGTAACTGCCGTTGGAAAAATCAACGCGGTACCGGTACTGGTACCAGCCTCTGTATTATTGATAAGTCTGGGCCGGGCCACCACAGACATGTTGGGGCCCAAAGATACTGTTTACATATTGATTTACGGGCCCCGCCCTGCCCCGCCCCGCCCCCGAGCCCCCCGCGCTCAGGGGCGGGTACTTGTACATGACCATAGACGAACAGCGACTTCGGATGGACTGGTGGTTTAAACTATAAACCACCGCTACCTCCGAGCCTCTTTTTGCCGAGGTGGAAATGAACTGTGCACCAAGCTTTGCCGAAGCACCAACGGGACTTCTTTTTTTCTTTGACTGGCGCCGCCAGGCAGTTTGGTCCGACGGCGCCCGGCCCCCGAAGAATGCGGTGTACGGAATTCTGGTGTTTTGAGTTTGCCTGCTGAAGGTACCGTTCCCATATATTGGCCGCAGGCAGTTTCGTAGGGGCCCGAAACGGAAGATGGGCCGCCGAATCGACGCCGACGAAATTTATCAATGGCGGCTCTTTCCCGTTTGGCTTCCTAGTATACCGTCGCAACTCCTATTCTCAAGCAGGGAAAGGTAGTGGTGGCGGGGAAAGGTAGTGGTGGTTCAAGTTCCAGTGGGAGAAGTTGCAGCAACAAGGAGACATGGATAAGGGCAGGACCCCACTGCTTGGCGGTGCTTGGCGGCAGGAAAACATCCGGCAACCCAAAATCGTGGCCGCCAGGAATGGGCAATGGGCAAGCGAAAAGGGACTCCACTGGCACAAGCAATTCTTGGCACTTCCCCAGGTTTCTGTCACCCGATTAGGAAGACTGGCCTTTTCAGGCAAGTTTGCCTCCGCTTTTTCAGCACACCACCCAATCCCCGTGCCTCCTTTCCGCACAGGATGGTTGGTACGTTTGCCTACCTCCAGCAGAGTCCAGAGGCAGCGAGCGTACCAGCCATCCCGTGCAGAAAGGAGGCATGCCGGCACGGGGAGTGCCAGTGGTCTCTGTTCTGAAAAGCTGGAGCAGTGGAGTCTAAAAAATGTCTTCCAAAGGCTTGGCGCCAGCCAGTGGGGTCCAAGCCTAAGACTCCCAACCAAGGACAACCGTGGAGGGAGGGGGGGGGGGAGGAAGGCGTAACTACGAGGGAGTCATAAAAACAGTTCGAAATACAGTTCGGGCCAAAACGAGTTTCAAAAAAAAAAAAGCAAAAAAAAAAAGCACTTCGGGCACTGTACGTGACTGGAAGCTGGCCGGGCTTGTATACGGTGCCCAAAGTGCAATTTGAAACTCGTTTTGGCCCGAACTGTAATTTCGAACTGTTTTTGTGAC